CGGGAGTTGGACGGAAGGACGTTTTCCGCAAGAAAATGCAAAGGTAGGGACGGTTTGCACCAAGAATTCATAGGTAGGGACGTTTTCCACAAGGACTGTCATAGGTAGGGACGTTTTGCGCCAATAACCCTTATATATATATTAGTGGACTAAGGAAATAGTTACATTCCGCTATAAATAATTCCTTTCCTTTTATGGAAGGACAAAACCTTATGCCCCGGCTCAATGACCACTCATCGAATAGTTGATAGTATTAAGCTAATAAATTATTAATGTATTCATCGAATTCGACATTGAGTAGTCCATCCTTATATGCCCAAGATGGATAGTATTAATAATTATTTAAGCAGGATAATCGGTGAACACAGTCAACGAAAATAAATAATAATATAATTATATGAATGAGGTGAAACCAAACAAAAGGAGATCAATATTACATATATGTATTCATTAAAATCGAATAATCTTGAAAATTCCAAAATAAAAAGGGTAAGGAGGAAAGAAGAATGAGTATTCTACACAGGGCAGGTGGGGGCGTCAGAATGGAGCGTGATCCAAAAAAATAAAGAATGAGTATCCTACAATAGAATTATGAAGTGGGAGAACGTTATAGGGACCACTTGCCCCTTATCAGCTTGTTTGGGAGGGATTAAAATTGAAAAACTAACCGTTATTGTTGACTTTTATTAGAAGGGTGGAATCCAATAACGGCTATATTTTCAATTTTAATTAGATTAAGCCTCTGTTTGACGCCCGTTTTTTGGGTTAAAATTCATTTTGCTACAGGGAACTTGTGGGACAAGACAGGAGAATTGAATTTCTGTGTCAGAGCACAGCTTTGCCTTAGGTGACCGTTACATTCATTTCCCTTTCTGCCCTCAACGTTTCTTCCAAATTTTCACCCATTCACAAAACCCCCCTATTCTTAACCCTACACAGAACGCACCACCGACACCCATTTCAACTGCCGCATCTGAGAAGACATCACCGGTGCAGTGAGATAATTTGGGGACAAATTCACCTTGCCACGAGGCCACAGACATCTGCATCTCGCTGGACGTCAAGTTGATCGAGAACTTTCAAGCCAGCAAGTTCCTCTCTTCCACCCTACTACCTTCTATGGACAACGACGGGTCCCAGTGGACGTGTTACCCGGGTCACACGGTAAGATATTCCATGTTCAATTTGTCTTCGCACGATAAACATTTTGCATCCTGTTCTTCGAAAATCTGTGGAAGAATTGCTGTTGTTTCGTTTTCGATCTTCTCTTCCGTCCTACAGTGGGTCATTGAGCATCCCATTTTCCAATTGCAGCGTTACCCAGAAGTTTGCAGAGACCCGTTTACTCATACCTCTTCCAGTCGTCGTTCGCCTCAGCCAAACGTCCGGAAGTCGGCACGATGGAGCCCAACGGAGCACAAAGTGTTTATTGACACCTGTGAACTTGTTATTGCCGAAGGCCATCGACGTGGCAAATGCTTTTCCTCGAATGGATGGGCTCGCATCGCAGACCTCTTCAACGCCTCAACAGGAAAGAATTGGACTACGGCCCAAATGAAGAACTACTGGAACAAACTCCGAACAGAGCACAAACACATGTTCGAGTTACTGCGATGCACCGGAATTGAGTACCGGTCGGGAACTGGAAGAATTCACGCCCCGGATCATTGGTGGGAAGCAAAAATCAAGGTCCGTCATTTCTTTCTTCCCAATTTTGCTTGCTGTTTTTCGACAGTAAGGTATTCTTTGGGAATTTGCAAAACAGAATTGGAAGCAATGAAACATGAACTTCCTTCCCTTTTCATGTTTACTGAGTCCTCGCCTTTCAATCATGATAGCATACTGCCATCAAAGAAAACGGTTGCTATCTCGTTTCTGAAACCTTCTCTTACAAATTAAATTTTAGTCACTCACTAATATACATGTCTGGACCAGGATTAGTGCTGTTATGCTACACTAGAATATGGCTCAATCAATAGTTTAATTTCTTTCATTCTGACAGATTGCAACATGTTTCATTTATGTATTGCAAGGCTCCGTTGCTCAACTGTGCAGAGTGTCTGATGGAAAGTTTGTCTTTGTGAACAATATGTGAACATATAATGCAATAGAGTTTGTCTTTGTGAACAATCTGTTATTTTCCAATGCAATAGGATTTGTCTGCTAATGATACCATTTTTACATTTTTACTTGTAACCATCACTTGTGCTCTCATTTTTACTAGTTCACACATTGCAATCATCACTTGTGATCTCTTCTGTACTTGTAACCATTGCTTCAGGAAGCAATTGTCTTGTTCATCCTCAATGTAATAGGTGACTACCTGTGTAATTTGATTACCACCGTAGCAGGAGACTTGTGTAGAAAGGCTTAGGTTTTGGCTTAATTCACTTGCAAGCAATACCAATCTGCAGCATTTTTCGTGCATTATAATATTTGGAAAATATAAAAATGAGAACATGTATGTTGTAGTTGTTGGAAAATTCTGCTACATATGACTAGCTGTTTATCGTGTTCATGCAGGAAAACCCGAAATACGCAAAGTATCGAAATTTTGACTGCAGTGAGATATACGACACGTATGGGAAATTGTTCGGCGACACGGGTGACTCTACCAAATATGCGATTTCCCCGACGAAATTGTCGCAGCGTGGACTTGACTTGAGCACAAACAGCGACAAGGAGTACAGAGGCGACGCAGTGCCAATCAACGCCGATGGGACAGATTCCAGTGCAAGTCCAGATGACGATAGAACATGTTCGGCGATGAATATATCCGGGAACCGTAGTGGGGAAAAAAGAAAGGGCAAATGCACAAGGAAACAAAGACGGAAGAAGAAATCGTACGGTGCACGTGAGGTTTCAGCGTCGCTTGAGCAAATGGTCAGTGTTGGTACTGATCTGGCCTCCATCGCAAGATCATATCATAAGGATGTGATGGCAGTTGGCGATTGCGTTAAGGAACTACTGTCTTCGGGGCATGTCCAGACAGGTGACGAGATCCACCTCTTTGCACTGTGGTTCCTACGCGAAAAAGACAATTGCAAATCGTACGCTGCGGCTGAGACACCTTACCTGCGTTTTAAGTTCGTTGAGTATTGCTTCGAGAGGGACAAGATGTCACGACAGCGTAACGTGTGAGCCGAAGAGTTACCTGAAAACATTTTATTTTCCTAATTTTTTTTCCGTGCCTTCGTGAGGTTTTTCATTTATACTGTACGTTTGTGTTATTTTTAATTTCTCGGACTGGTTGTGTTGGTTTGTAATATATGTGTGACATTGATGACGATTTCACCCTTGCACAACGAAATTAAGGCATCATAAATCCTTCAACGAAGCTATCATCATAAGTAGTACGTAATCATTAATGAAAGTAAGAAACAATATAGACATGGAAAAGTGATTTCTTCATGTTGCAGGGAATATATTCCCTGCACATTTAATTTAGATACTATTGAAAGACAATAGAATATATTCCCTGTAAATTTACTTCACACACCATGAAAGATAAAAGAAAATATTCCCTGCAAATTTTCTTCACACGCCATCAAAGAAAAAAGAAAATTTTCCCTGCAAATTTACTTAACACACGATAAAAAAAAAAGAATATATTCCTTGGGAGGGACACTGCAAAAACATTCAGTCCCTGCAAATTGATTTACATCGATTCCAAATTTATTCCACTGTATTTTCCATGTGCTGGAGCAATTAAAGATTTATTTGAATGAGAATATATACGTACGCATGTCACGGATTTTAGGAACTTATTTACATCATTATATCACTTTTCCTTGTTATAAATACCCCCGTGATGGCAGTCAACAATTTGTGCAACCCTATCAAACACTCTTCAAGAAGCCAATTGTGGAGGGTATCCCCAATTGTTAGCACAAACACATTCGTATTTCACGTTTTTGTTCGCCACTCCTCACGCATTTCTTTAGAAAATATGTCGCACTATTTTGATCAGGTGTCATCTTCCGAAACAGATTGCGACATTGACTCGATGTCTGATTCCTCATCGAGTTCAGACGAGGATTTTATGCAGCGGCTTGAGGATGACATCAACGTGTGGCTCAATTATTGCAGAATTGCAGAGCGCATTGTGCTGGATTACTTGGCACCAAATGGAGCACGTCGATATTTATTCCCAACATCACGATGTGGCCACATTTTTATGCTCCAAAATATACATGTTTATCCTCAAACATGTTTTCAGGAATTTCGGATGTATCCTCCGATGTTTATGTATTTCACGCACATCCTCTGTGATCAGTACAATCTTCCCAGAAGTGCAAACATTGACATATATGAACAAGTGGGAATGTTTTTGTATATACTAGCACATGGCAAAGGTTATCGTCAAGTTCAAACGCTTTTCAATCATTCGTTGCAGACCATCTCGTATTATTTGAAGAGAACATTGCGTGCTTGCGTAGCTTTCGCAGCGGACATGATTAAACCAGATCCGAGGTACAACGAAGGTGCAGCTCACCATCATCGGCATGTGGAACGGTACCCCCAATTCCAGGTGCATGATCCTACATAACTAGCGAATTAAGCCCTCGTAGTTATTTTCATATGTATTGTATTTTAATTTTCGAAATTACGACCTAGGATTGTATAGGTGCCATCGACGGCACACATGTGCGGGCTGTGCTTCCACGACATAAAAGAGAGAGTTACATTGGGAGGAAGGGAATACCAACACAAAATGTACTGGCCGCATGCGATTTCAACCTTTGCTTTACGTTCGTGCTGCCGGGAACCACAGGGAACACCCACGATAGTCGCATATTGGCTCGGGCTGTACATAGTCCGGATATCAATTTTCCAGCACCCGCTAATGGGAAATATTACCTGGTTGACTCGGGGTTCGCACATAGGCCTGGTTATATGGCTCCATATAAAGGCCCTGATATTAGATATCATTTTCAGGAGTTCGACCGTGCAAGGGATGGGCAACGCCGTAGGTTTAGAAATGCACGTGAGCAGTTCAATTTTCATCACTCCTCATGCCGTAACGTTATTGAGCGTGCCTTCGGTGTTTGGAAACAGAGGTGGGAGATAGTTGATCGAATGCCTGCTTATAATATGAGAGCGCAAACAGATGTGGTCGTTGCTACAATGGGTATACATAACTTCTTAAAGCGAAACGGTCAGATGGATGAGGGTTTTCGTAGAGCCGAAGAAGATGATGACGAAGAGGTAGAGATAGATCTACCAGATGAAGAAGACGAGATTGCCGCTGAGCTCGATGCAATAGCCGAAGAGGACATGTCGTGGCGCCAACTACGTGATTACATGGCACAGGCGTTACGTTAGTGCCTATGGAAGAAGTCGTAGTGGGATACATATGTTTCTATTGTTGGTGTCGTACTATTCGGAAGCTAATATTTCATAAATAACGCATGATTCACGAATTAATTAGGAAGAAAGGGAAAAATGTATTCGTATAATGTTCACGTTTCGGATGCTAATGTATTGCCTTAATATTTACTAGACTTGTGAACACATTTTGCAACCAAAAAAAGGTCCAAAAATAAAACATATTAGTTGAAATATTCCCATTTTTCAACACAAGTTAGATGACTTTTGAACACATTTTGCAAAAAAATTTACATAAAAGATTGCAACAATATTAGTTG